CCCCCCCCCCCTCCCGCCCCCCCCCCCCCCCCCCCCCCCCCCCCCCCCCCCCCCCCCCCCCCCCCCACCCCCCCCCCCCCCCGCCCCCCCCCCCCCCCCCCCCCCCCCCCCCCCCCCCCCCCCCCGCCCCCCCCCCCCCCCCCCCCCCCCCCCCCCCCCCCCCCGACCCCCCCCCCCCCCCCCCCCCCCCCCCCCCCCCCCCCCCGCCCCCCCCCCCCCCCCCCCCCCCCCCCCCCCCCCCCCCCCCCCCCCCCGCCCCCCCCCCCCCCCCCCCCCCCCCCCCCCCCCCCCCCCCCCCCCCCCCCCCCCCCCCCCCCCCCCCCCCCCCCCCCCCCCCCCCCCCCCCCCCCCCCCCCCCCCCCCCCCCCCCCCCCCCCCCCCCCCCCCCCCCCCCCCCCCCCCCCCCCCCCCCCCCCCCCCCCCCCCCCCCCCCCCCCCGCCCCCCCCCCCCCCCCCCCCCCCCCCCCCCCCCCCCCCCCCCCCCCCCCCCCCCCCCCCCCCCCCCCCCCCCCCCCCCCCCCCCCCCCCCCCCCCGCCCCCCCCCCCCCCCCCCCCCCCCCCCCCCCCCCCCCCGCCCCCCCCCCCCCCCCCCCCCCCCCCCCCCCCCCCCCCCCCCCCCCCCCCCCCCCCCCCCCCCCCCCCCCCCCCCCCCTCCCCCCCCCCCCCCCCCCGCCCCCCCCCCCCCCCCCCCCCCCCCCCCCCCCCCCCCCCCCCCCCCCCCCCCCCCCCCCCCCCCCCCCCCCCCCCCCCCCCCCCCCCCCCCCCCCCCCCCCCCCCCCCCCCCCCCCCCCCCCCCCCCCCCCCCCCCCCCCCCCCCCCCCCCCCCCCCCCCCCCCCCCCCCCCCTCCCCCCGCCCCCCCCCCCCCCCCCCCCCCCCCCCCCCCCCCCCCCCCCCCCCCCCCCCCCCCCCCCCCCCCCCCCCCCCCCCCCCCCCCCCCCCCCCCCCCCCCCCCCCCCCCCCCCCCCCCCCCCCCCCCCCCCCCCCCCCCCGCCCCCCCCCCCCGCCCCCCCCCCCCCCCCCCCCCCCCCCCCCCCCCCCCCCCCCCCCCCCCCCCCCCCCCCCCCCCCCCCCCCCCCCCCCCCCCCGCCCCCCCCCCCCCCCCCCCCCCCCCCCCCCCCCCCCCCCCCCCCCCCCCCCCCCCCCCCCCCCCCCCCCCCCCCCCCCCCCCCCCCCCCCCCCCCCCCCCCCCCCCCCCCCCCCCCCCCCCCCCCCCCCCCCCCCCCCCCCCCCCCCCCCCCCCCCCCCCCCCCCCCCCCCCCCCCCCCCCCCCCCCCCCCCCCCCCCCCCCCCCCCCCCCCCCCCCCCCCCCCCCCCCCCCCCCCCCCCCCCCCCCCCCCCCCCCCCCCCCCCCCCCCCCCCACCCCCCCCCCCCCCCCGCCCCCCCCCCCCCCCCCCCCCCCCCCCCCCCCCCCCCCCCCCCCCCCCCCCCCCCCCCCCCCCCCCCCCCCCCCCCCCCCCCCCCCCCCCCCCCCCCCCCCCGCCCCCCCCCCCCCCCCCCCCCCCCCCCCCCCCCCCCCCCCCCCCCCCCCCCCCCCCCCCCTCCCCCCCCCCCCCCCCCCCGCCCCCCCCCCCCCCCCCCCCCCCCCCCCCCCCCCCCCCCCCCCCCCCCCCCCCCCCCCCCCCCCCCCCCCCCCCCCCCCCCCCCCCCCCCCCCCCCCCCCCCCCGCCCCCCCCCCCCCCCCCCCCCACCCCCCCCCCCCCCCCCCCCCCCCCCCCCCCCCCCGCCCCCCCCCCCCCCCCCCCCCCCCCCCCCCCCCCCCCCCCCTCCCCGCCCCCCCCCCCCCCCCCCCCCCCCCCCCCCCCCCCCCCCCGCCCCCCCCCCCCCCCCCCCCCCCCCCCCCCCCCCCCCCCCCCCCCCCCCCCCCCGCCCCCCCCCCCCCCCCCCCCCCCCCCCCCCCCCACCCCGCCCCCGCGCCCCCCCCCCCCCCCCCCCCCCCCCCCCCCCCCCCCCCCCCCCCCCCCCCCCCCCCCCCCCCCCCCCCCCCCCCCCCCCCGCCCCCCCCCCCCCCCCCCCCCCCCCCCCCCCCCCCCCCCCCCCCCCCCCCCCCCCACCCCCCCGCCCCCCCCCCCCCCCCCCCCCCCCCCCCCCCCCCCCCCCCCCCCCCCCCCCCCCCCCCCCCCCCCCCCCCCCCCCCCCCCCCCCCCCCCCCCCCCCCCCCCCCCCCCCCCCCCCCCCCCCCCCCCCCCCCCCCCCCCCCCCCCCGCCCCCCCCCCCCCCCCCCCCCCCCCCCCCCCCCCCCCCCCCCCCCGCCCCCCGCCCCCCCCCCCCCCCCCCCCCCCCCCCCCCCCCCCCCCCCCCCCCCCCCCCCCCCCCCGCCCCCCCCCCCCCCCCCCCCCCCCCCCCCCCCCCCCCCGCACCCCCCCCCCCCCCCCCCCCCCCCCCCCCCCGGCCCCCCTCACAGAACCAGGATTGGATAATTGCACCAAGTTCATTCAATCACTTCTTCACAGTTATTCTTTGGAAGTCCTGTGTAGTGGTCCATCTTATTGATGTGGTATAATTTACTATAATTTACTAACTGTTGTCCCTTCCTGAGTTGTAGGGCTCTTTCGGGTTCTTGAAGCAGCTTTAGGTTGAGTACTTTTTCAATTTTGCAGGATTATTTTCTTTTTAGTGTAGAATTGTTTTGTGCCCACACACAAGTATGGACCTTATTACAACAGCTAATTCACATTGAGGTAGTACTTATGAAAGGACTGAGGGGTCAGCAGGATTGAAAACCACTGATTTCTTCTAGGGAGCACAGGTGGTGGGAGTGGGGAGGGGAGAGAAGGGGAGGGGCCCCAGAACAAGTGGGAAAGGGCAGGAAGTGAGAGCCAGGCTGCCAGACTGGAGTTAGAACCCAGAGGATTCCAGTGGCCTTCACATTTCTCAAATGCCTTCCTAGCTAGAGCTGTTTGGGGTTTGAGGTTGAAGAGGGATTAGGCTGGCTGAGATCCAGCACCCCTCTCCACTCTGACACCCCGCTCCATCTGGAACCCCTTCCACTTTCCATGACACACATCCTTAGAATCTTCCCTAAGTGGGCTGGGTGGATCTGAGGGCTGAGGGCACACACCCACAACCCTACCCCTGGTCCTCCATTTTCCTAAGGCCAAGCTTCCCCACTGGTTTGTGTGAACCAGTGACTGGGGATCTGGCTAAAAGGCAGAGAGCCTGAGTTCCTCGAACTCTGCTGAATATCTGTGCTCTAAGGACTGTCCAGGGTCTCAGTCTTTCCCGCAGCCAAATTCAAAATTTGGGGAGGGGGTGTAAGCCTCAGTAGGGTCTTGGTCTCCAAATCAAGGCAGTCCTTGTTCCCCTGAGTCCAGCTGTGATGAACTGGTCGCATGTGGGAGTGGGAGGGGCTGAGGAGATGCTGGGTGGAGCTTCTGTGGGCCTGTCTCATAAACTGGCCCCCTGTACATGGTGGTGGGGAATAAGGAGGTCTGGTAAGCCCTGGGGACAAAGCCAACCATGTGGGGAAAATTTAGCTGCTGTGTGTAGAATTTGGGCTCAGGGACTGCTCTCCCTGGGGCTGAGTTAGCACCCTGGCCTTTTGCTTTGGTCAGCCCAGGAGGGGTCAGGTCAGGATAAGTAAGTAAATACAGATCCAGGGAAAGAAGCCAGGCAGCCCAGCCCAGCACTGACCTCTCCCTGAAGGCTGGGGAGCTGGGTCACATTGGACCCAGAAGCCCCCTAGAACTGCTGGAAGCAGCTGGGGCAGGGGACAGAGTCTTTAAAGGGGATAGGGTGGGGGCCAGTAGGAAGCCAGTGAAGAGATGCTGTTCTGGGGCCTGGGGCGTATCTCAGTGGGAGAGCATGTGCCCGACATGCATGAGGCCCTGGTTCAATCCCAATATGAAGCGGGGAAAAGAGGAGAGGTGAGGAGCTGCTGTTCCCCTGTGGGCTTCAGAAAGCTGTGTTCTTTCTCTGGGCCTCAATTTGCTTTGGCAATGAATCTCAAAAGTGATGTCCAGCTTGTTGAGTCAATGACAAAGAGTTGACTGATCTAAAGGGACTTGGGGGACCACAAGTGCAAGAGGCAAGGTCCCCTTACGGGTTCTCTTCTCACCCCATGGTCTTGTTTATTCAGGAGAGAAAGGCTGTCCAGGTATAACCTTAGCCCTCCTACTTTCCTGCCCATTGAGGTGGGACTCGCTTGCCCTCCTCATGCATGGGCTCAGGGCCAACCTCATCCTGGCTGTCCGTGTCCTCATGCTGCAGTCCTGCACCGGCCCTCACTCTGCTCACCTTGTCCACCTGGTCCAGCCAATACCTCATGGACCCTCGATTCTGGGAAGGGGACTTCAAGCAAGCACCACTCTTAACACAGACTAGTTTATTGATAAAATCTGTTCCCAAGCATCACGGGGAAGGGGGCTAGCAGAGTGGATGACATTTTTTTTTTTTTTTAACTTTCCTTGGCAATGTTCAAGGAGCAGGGGGAAAGAGGGGAGAGGGACATACAGATCAGAGCAACCACACAGACAGCTCCCTTCCAAGGCTGGGCTCTGCACTGCTAAGCAAGTGCTTTACATACACTCTTAGTTAATCCCTACAACATCCCTACAAGGTAGGTACCATTATCTCCCCATTGTACAGATGAGGAAACTGAGGCATAGAATGGTGAAGTGGTGGGAGGTGGGTGTGAGCTTTAAGGGGCCCCCTGAGAGCCTTCCGTTGGGAGCCTATGACCACCTCTCCTTTCTGTCACTTGAGTTCTCTGTGTTCCCCATTTCTTGCAACTTCCTGTTCTTTCAAGTCTTTTTATATTTTTGTTTTGTAAAAAAATAGACTTTGCCCATGTTCTAGAGAGGTCACTGTCTCCTACTCCAAACATTCCAATCTGAGTTCCCCCAAGATTCCTTTTAGATGGAGTTGGAGACAATGGGTCTCCAAAGGGCAGCTAGGGCACACACCAAGTCAAAGTCCAGTGAAAGCTCTTAGATAATACACACAAATAAATTACACACCTCCCTCCCCTCCCCACCTCTCCCACTTCCCGCCCTCCCTCCATCCCCAGAACAGAGTGGGCATTGCCCCCGCCTCCACCCCAAAGCTGGGTCTCGTTTCAGTTCCCTCTGTGTCCCCAGGGTCCCAGGCCCTCAGAAGATGGCTGTGGAGTGAGTGAGTGAATGAATGAGTGCTTGGCAGCAGGGAGCAGCTACTTAGGAGTCCTGAGCCCCACTCCCTCATCTGTAGCCTCACCTGTAACTTGTCCTAGACAGGACACCTCTCTGGTCACAGAGGAGAGGGTCTCAGCATGGGGTTGGGACAGAGAGGCAAGGGAGGGGTCAGCAGGGGCACTTCTGAGAAAGGAATGCAGGTGATGGACAGAGGACAGAGCTGTGCCCTCCAAATCAGAAGGCCTGGTTCAAATTCTGGCTGTTGGCCTTGGGCAGGCCTGAAGGAGAAAGATGACTACTATAGGACAGTCCTTTCAGAGATCACAAAGCACTTTTTCACATTTACCTTTGGTCCTGGGAGACTTTCCTGTACCATGGATGTTATTATCAATGTACTCATTTTGCAGAAGGGGAAGCAGAAGCTGGAGAGGTCAAAGGACTTGCCCAAGGTCACACAGCCAGCAGGAATTTGAACATTCTCCAACCCCCCACCTCTGGTACTGCCACACCTGTGCCATTAAGAGACAAGGCCGATAGCTGTCTTTGGGCATGGGGTCCCCTTGCAGCAGTGTGGCCATATGAGGGACTGTGGGCCAAATCCCAGGATGTGACCCCGTGGCCATCTCCAGCCAGAAAAGCCAGTGCACCTTGTGTGGAAGATTTCCTAGACACTCTTTCCTTCCCCACCCACAGCCTTGGGGAGTTCATGAGATGCCTATGAATTTCTGCTTTTCCTGGGAAGGTTTCGGGGGCTTGGGTTTGCCCATCAGACAGGCATGGGCACTTCATCATATTCATCCCGACCTTCCTCCTCGTCAAAGGTCGGCTTGGCATCATCTGCATCCAGCTGGAGGGGGCAGGAAGAAGAGAGGGTGAGGGACCCCAGTCTCATGGGCCCTCCCCCGGTATCCAAAGGCACCTCTGTATGTTGGGCGAGATCTGGCTATCTATGAACCTTGGACAAGTTCTGTGCTATCCCCCAACCACTAGAATTGGTCTAGATAAATGATTTTCAAACAGCAAGGATCCCCTGAGGTTCTGGCATCCCAGTTGGGGAAGACTGTGGAAGGTGAGCAGGGGACCCCTTCACTGTGGCAGCTCCACAGCAACTTGGTCCCAAATGATTTGGAGGACATTGGGACTAGCCACTCAGCACTCAGGATGGAAATAGCTCATGTGAGCACACCCTTGTGTGCCTCTTAACGCTTTTACCAACCTAGTCATCATTCCTCTTTGTACAGATGAGACACAGAGAAATGAGGCCACTTGGACCAGATCATATGCTAGGACACAGCAGGTCAGGATTTGGACACAGGCCGTGGATCCAGACCTTAATCACTGCGCTCTCCTGCCACCCCCAGCTCTGAGACCCACCCCTCACATTCTCCAGGCCTTTCACTGTTTCCTCCCTGCCTCAGCCTCCACCCTCCACTAAGAAGCCCTCCCTCCCTTCTTCCTTCTGCCCAGGCTGCCTGCCACTCACACACTGGAGCTCCAGCTTGCTGAAGATGAGGGGCAGCAGGAGGCGTCGCAGGGGCACAGTGAGGATGAGGACAAAAGGCAGGGCCAGGGAGGCAGGTGTGGACTTCACCACCCACAGCAATACCAGGCAGATGATCTGGATGACTGTGAACAGGTGCATGCGCCAGGTCCTCACCTGTGAGGAGGCCAGGGTAAGCAGTTGCCCTGCTCTAGCACCCCTGCCCCTCCCTGAGTCAGGCAGCCAGCAGCGTCCTGTACCCGCTTGACATAGGGCACGTCCGGGTGGTACTTGGATGGCTTGGATAGGAGCAAGATGCGGTCAAAGAGCTGAATGCCACTGAGGGATGTGATCCCCATGTAGAGGAAGATGCCAAACAGCACAGCCAGAGGGATGCGGGACAGGATGGGCTCCATGAGGATGGAGAGGCCTGTGGGGAGGACCACACATTCTCAGCCCCAGGTCACCTGGAGGACCAGCACTGGCAGGACTGGCCCATATTTGGGGCTGCAAATGAAACCACAAATACCATGTGGCTTTTCCTGCCTGTGTGTGTCTGTGTCTGTGTGTGTGTGTGTGTGTGTCTGTGTGTGTGTGTGGTGTGTGTGGTGTGTGTGGTGTGTGTGTGTGGTGTGTGGTGTGTGTGTGTGTGTGTGTGGTGTGTGTGGTGTGTGTGGTGTGTGTGTGTGGTGTGGTGGTGTGTGTGTGTGTGTGTGTGGTGTGTGTGTGTGTGGTGTGTGTGTGTGTGTGGTGTGTGTGGTGTGTGTGTGTGGTGTGTGTGTGTGTGTGTGGTGTGTGTCTGTGTGTGTGTGTGTGTGTGTGGTGTGTGTGTGTGTGTGTGTGGTGTGTGTGTGTGTGTGTGGTGTGTGTGTGTGTGTGTGGTGTGTGTGTGTGTGGTGTGTGTGTGTGTGGTGTGTGTGGTGTGTGGTGTGTGTGTGGTGTGTGGTGTGTGTGTGTGTGTGTTGTGGTGTGTGTGGTGGTGTGTGTGTGTGTGTGGTGTGGTGTGTGTGTGTGGTGTGTGTGGTGTGTGTGGTGTGTGTGGTGTGTGTGTGTGTGTGTGGTGTGGTGTGTGTGTGTGTGTGGTGGTGTGTGTGTGGTGTGTGTGTGTGTGTGGTGTGTGGTGTGTGTGTTGTGGTGTGTGGTGTGTGTGTGTGTGTGTGGTGTGTGTGTGTGTGTGTGGGTGTGTGTGTGTGTGGTGTGTGTGTGTGTGTGTGTGTGTGTGTGGTGTGTGTGTGTGGTGTGTGTGTGTGGTGTGTGTGTGTGTGTGTGGTGTGTGTGTGTGGTGTGTGGTGTGTGTGTGTGTGTGTGTGTGTGGTGTGTGTGTGTGGTGTGTGGTGTGTGTGTGTGGTGTGTGGTGTGTGTGTGTGTGTGTGTGTGGTGTGTGTGTGTGTGTGTGTGTGTGTGGTGTGTGTGTGTGGTGTGGTATGTGTGTGTGTGGTGTGTGTGTGTGTGTGTGTGGTGTGTGTGTGTGTGGTGTGTGTGTGTGTGTGGTGTGGTGTGTGTGTGTGTGGTGTGTGTGTGTGGTGTGTGTGTGTGTGTGGTGTGTGGTGTGTGTGTGTGTGTCGTGTGTGTGTGGAGTGAGTCCTGGCCACACACATGCTAGGCAAGCACTCTACCACTTGAGCCATAACCGCAGCACTTTGGTTTCGATTTTGTTCTGAAAAAGTCTCCCTAACTTTACCAGGGCTGGCCTCCAACTCAGATCTTCCTCCGCCTCCTGAGTAGCTGAGCGAACAGGCTTCCACCACCATGCTCAGCTGTGGAGTCTCTTAATAGGCATTATCTCCATTTTACAGTTGAGGAAACATGTTCAGACAGGTAAACAATCCGCCTAAGGCCACACAGCTAGCAAAAAGTCAAACTCTTTCCTGCGGGACTTAAACCCATTTCCTTAGCCTAGTGTGGGGGGGAGTCACAGAGGTCAGAGAAACTGACTGCTATTTTGCTAAAAAGAAAAGGAAGGAAGGAAGGAAGGAAGGAAGGAAGGAAGGGAGAGAGAAACTCTCCTGGGGTTGTGGCTGTCCTCAGAGGTCCTGGGTCCAATCCCAGCACCAAAAAAGAAAGAAAAAAGAAAAAGAAACTTCCTGACCTCATGGGTGACTATAGCACTGCCTGCCCAGCTGGACTCAGGCTGTTTGCTCTAGAACTCAGACTTAGCCCAGTGACCCTGCCTTCCGCCCTCCCCAAGACAGTGCCTGGAGCATTGCTCCCCTTCCTTGCTTCAGTCACACAGCAGGAAGAGAACTTGGGGTATTGAATGAACCCTCTAACTGTACAAACAGAGAAACTAAAGCCCAGAGCCCAGGAAAGGGTGCCAAGCTAGCAGCAGGGCAGGGCAAGAACCCATGGTATACTGTACTTCTGTTCTCTAGGCTCCAAGGTGGGGTCTGGTCTAAAGAAGCCTCAGGAGTGCTGTCCCTCCTCCCTGGTCAGAAGCCCATCCCAAGATCCCAGGACCATGGCGCTTCCTCCAGTAGGTAACTGATACTAGGCAGAGATGGGCAAGTGAGTATGTGGAGACCTGGCTGCAGGGCAGGTGGGGCACGAGAGGGCCCTGGATCCCAAGGGCAGGGGCCAGGGTGGTGGGGGTGGCGGAAGCCCTCACTCACCCACAAGCACAGAGACTAGGAGCCCGCTGACCCGCTGCTCCTTGACCTCCTGAATCTGGGCTGCAGCCCCCGGGGCACTAGCCTTGCCCATGACTGTGAGGGCATTGGCGTGGGTGACAGAACGCACAGTGGTGGCGCTGAGCCAGGGCATCCCAAAGAGGGCAGCCACCCCGCCCATGCCCACGACCAGCAGCAGGTCCAGGTGGAATCCGGAGCCTTTCACCATCTTGCGCTCAGGTTTGCTGACAATCAGCCTGGGGATGGAAGGAGGTCCATTAAGCCCCGCTCCCTCTATCCTCTCCTTCCTTCCCCACACTGGGGACCCTCTGCACCTCAGCTTTGCCTACTGTTCCCATCTCACTTTGAGTTCCTAACTCCCTCCCTCCAGCCTGTCTTGAGAGTGCAGACTTAGGGCAGCACAGGCTAGAACACTCACAGGCAGGTCTGCCAAAGCCACCGAACTTAGGCTTCAGGGAGTGCCAATAACCACCCCTTTCAAGATCCAGCCCCTAATTTCATAGTTCTCAGTTTCGTATTGGTTTAAAAAGATCTCTCCAAATTATGCAACTTAAGGTGCCCTAAATCTGGACCTCCCCCTGATGGTTCATCTCTCCTGCCAGTGATGAAGGCCATGCAAGGTCTCTTGCCTGTCCACAGTCTGCCCCTTTTCCTGCCTCCCACCCTCCCTGGCCCAGCTCCCATCCTGGGCTTACGTGGTGATCTGAGATTCAAGAAATATGAGGATGAAGACCAGTAGGGCAGGCAGGGCTGAGGCAAACATCATCCAGATGGGGAAGTGACTGTATAAGCCCAGCGGATGGATGACCCAGCCCCGAGCTGAGGAGTTGGACACCTTGAGGCCATCAGGCACTGAGAGTTTCTGTGGAAAGAGGCAGCTGGTGAGAACTCTGGGGCAGGGGAATGGGGAGAGGTGGGAGCAGGGAGAGCTAGGGGCTTGAATCAGGGAACTTGAGAGCTTACTTATGTTGAGCACTTACTGTGTACCCAGTCACTGCACTAAGCCTCATTCTTAACTTAAAAGATGAGGGAACAGGATCAGAGAGGTTATATAGCTTGCCCCACATCACACAGCTAGTTGGTGGCAGAGATGAGATTCATACTCAGATCTGCCTGGCTCAAAGCAGACTCTTTCCTATTGTCTTGGGCTAAGGAGTAAAAGGGTCAATCTGACCCAGTCTCTTGCTTTGACCAGAGGGGTCTTATGGGACTATGGGAAGAGCATGGAGCTCCCAGGGGAAGTAGGGTTGGGGTAGAAGTAGTTCTAGTTGGCTTCAGATTGGGGGAAGCTGTTCTGAGGAGAGGGCATGCCAGAGGGAGAAAATGAGGATGGGGTGTCTTGGGAGGAGGAATAGAAGAAGGATTCACCTGCGTGTAGGTATCCTTGACGAAGGAATCTACCAGGACCATGATCAGGATGGAGATGGGGACCCCAAAGTCCCCAATGACTCGACGCAACTGGGAGCAGATGAAGGGACCAGTAATCAGTGCCCAGTTCCTCCACCCCGTCCCACATCTACCCAGGGGCCCTGCTCTTCCCCACATCAGTATCTAATGGCCTGTCCTTGCCTTGTATGCCACCTCCCTTCTTCCTCTGTCCCAGCCCCACCTTGTCCCCATGCTTCTCCCTCCCAAGAACTGCCCCCTGATTTCCTGCTGGGTGTTCAGCCTGGGCATGCTGAGGGGAGATGGGCTTGCCTGCAGAGTGAAGCTGGGGTAAGAAGGGGGCCAGGGAGGCTTGGCATTGAGAATGAGGATCTGGGGCAAGAATGAGAGCTAAGGGTACAGAGAATCTGGGGTTGGGGGATTTGGGGGATGGGGCCGTATAGTCAAGGACATGTGGGGAGGGTGTGCTGACCTTGCCAGGGAAGTAGGAGCTGTTCTTGAACTTGCGTAGCATCATGGCAGATAAGAAGGTACCAGCCATGAGCACAAGGGAGAAGAGGGCTGTATTGGGCAAAGGGCCCTGAGGTTTTGGCTTCATCACAACGGGGGCATAGCTCTCCTGCAGAGGGTAGTCTTGGAAGATCTGTGGCAGACAAGCAAGGTATATTGTTACTTCCCACTTTGGCTTGGGCTAGAAAGTTTCAGAAAAGTCTACCTAGAACTATCATCAATTTCTCCATTCATCAATCCATCCATCATCCATCCATATACCCGTGTATCCATCCATTATTCATCCACAGTCCATCCATCCATCACCTATACATATATTCATGCATGCATGCATCCATCAATCCATCCACCCATCTATCCATCACCCATTCATATAGCCATGTATCCATCTACCATCCATCCATACAACCATGTATCCATTCAGCATCCATCCATATAGCCATGTATCCATCCACCCATCTATCCATCACTCATCCATATAGTCATATATCCAACCATCATCTGTCGTCCATATCCCCATGCATCCATGCATCCATCCATCCACCCATCTATTTATCACTCCTCCATATGCCCATGCATCCATCTATCCATCCATTTATCACTCCTCCATATACCCATGCATCCATCCATTCATCTATCTGCCACCCATCCATCCATCATCCATCGTCCATTTATCATCTATCCATATACCCATGCATCAATTCATTCACTTTCTTCCTCAACTGACAGTGATAACAGAGGGACTACTACAGCTTAATTTTCAGGGATGAAGACCAGGTTAGGCTTGGGTAGGGTGAGCCAACGAGGCAATGAGCATGTGTGTGTATATGTGTGCAGACATAACTGTCCACACAGGGTTTGGGGAACCTGAGAATAATGGAGGGGAGGAATAAGTCATAAGGAGATTAATAAAAAAGAGCTTAAGGGGCTAGGGTATAGTTTAGTGGCAGAGTTGCTTTTCTAGCATGTGAGAGGCCCTGGGTTTGAGCCTTAGCACCATAAACAAACAAACAAACAAATAAATTAGGCCTAAAAGAGCAGGAAACAGAAAGACTCACCAATCAAAAGAATCATGGTTGACATACAGGGTCCACCCTTCCTCTGTATCAAGTACAGACACAAAGACAGCATATCCTCTGGTAACAGGAGCTAACTAAGGAGGCAGGAGCTCTGGTGGGTTCTTGAGGTCAAGTGCAAGAGAGGGAGGGGATTTTCTGAGCCTCCAGAGCCACCACTGTTCTGCCCTCACTGCACATGCAATTTCTTATGTAGTGTCTTTCTCACTCTGTCTCTCTTACACACACATGTACCAGTCCACTAGTCATGAACGGGAATGTGTATACACAGAGGAGCCTTCCCATATGCAGTCCCTCTGCACCAAGTTACAGGCAGCAGGTGTCAGCACATACATGGATGATCACAGGCAGCTCAGTGCACAGTCCTCTGTGCAGACGAGTGAAGACACAGACACGAATGTGGCCACACTCATAGGCCCATCACATTCACACAAGAAGAAACAGGGCCACACCAATGCTGTGCAGACACATACAAAATGACACACACAGCCAGGTGGTCTTATACACAATCACACAGGTGCATTGATGTTCCCATAGGCCCCCACCTTGATCAGCTTGGAGAAAGTCTCAAAGATGAAGATGAGGGAGATGAGGAAGGAGAAGATCTCCTGAGTGTAGCGGGATATGTAGCGGACCAGGAAGCTGCCCTCAAAGGCCACCACCAGCACCACCAGCAGGATGAGCCAGAAGCCGATCCATGCACGACCCACGATATACTCCAGGTTGTTGCTCTCACAGAACTGTGGACAGTCAGAGGGCATCAGGTCAGATCAATATGGGCTCAGGCACATATGTCAGGCAGTGGGTCAGGGTTGCTACAGGGTTAGGGTCAGAGTGGGGCCAGGACAGTGCTACCGAGTAGAAGGCCTCCTCAAACACCAGCAGGGGTCCTGAGAAGCCAACCACAAGCAGAGGCTGAGCAGCCAGGAGGGCAAAGAGAATGCCCTGTACGGCAGTGGAGATGAGCAATTCCGATACCCCCATCTGGTTCCGGGTCTTCTCTCCTGTGGGAAGAGGTCACAGTGGGGTCAAAATGAAGAGATGCTTTCCAGGGACAAAACATGCAAGTCGCGGGCAGGCTGATGCAGGGGAGAGAGGGTCAAATGGGGTCAGAAATGAGGACTGAGGCAGAGGCCAGAGGGTCAGAGGTGAGAATTAGGGAGACAGTAATTAGCACTGACCCAGGAGGCCTCCGAAGGTGATGGCAGGTGACAGGGCAGCAAAGTAGATGAAGATGACAGCAGCCAGGACCTGGGGGCTGAGTGCATCCGTGATGTCACTTAGATAGTAGGGGTAGCGGCGCCGGATGTCACGCACCAGGCCTCCAAAGAGCAGACCTGTCCGCTGCAGAGGGTCATCTGGGCCCCCAGGGACCCCTGGGCCCCCATTCAAGTCTGTGGTGGAAGACAGGAACATAGTCAGAGGAGCTGATGGGAATTGGGGTGTCCAAGGAGACTAGGAAGCTTGGGCCCGGGGAAGGGGGGTATAGGAGGTATTTGATGGGGCTGTACTGGGGTGGCTGAGGGGCCATGGGGGCTCAGGAAGCCTTGGCCTGGCAGAACAGGTACCTAGGCCCTTGTAGAAACTGGGGTCTGGCTTGGCAGGGCTGGGCAGGTAGTGCCTCCTCAGCAGCTCCTTCTGCACGGGCACCAGACTGAGTAGGGCCTGCTCAGAGGGGGCATCTGTGGGAGGCAGCACCAAGCTGCAGTCCAGAAAGCCTTCCAGGTGGTGTACCAGCTCCCTCCGGCTCTGGGCTAGGTAAGCATTTGTGCGGAACACCTGGGGGTGGGGGGGAAAGAAGGTCAGAACCCAGGAATCCACAGCCAGGGCCTCCAGGGATAAGAATCCCCTTACCTGGGTCCCCTTACTGGGACTGGTGCTCCCTCTCTTCTCCTTCTGCCTTCTAAGGAAGGGCTTTAGGGAGTCGACAGGGGCCGAAGTGTTTAAAGGAAAGGAAGCTAAAGCAAACCCAGTGGGCTAGGAAGACTGCGCCAGTTCAAGCCAGACAAACCAACTAGAACCAGGTCAGGGTGGGCCAGAGTGGACCAGCCAGGCCAGTGCAAACCTGGCTACACCAGGCCAGGCCAGGCCAGGCAGAACTAGGCCAGACTACACACACCTAAGCTCTCCCGGACAGCTGGGATAAGAGTGACTGAATTAACTTGAATGGGTCAAACTAGTGAACTAAATAAGCCAGTCTAGCGGAGAACAGCCTTGGCCTCCCCCGGCTCCATGCCTCCCCAGCCCTCGTCTGCCCCTCTCACCCTTTCTGTCATGAGTGTGGCAGCAGCCCGGCCTAGCTGGATATAGTCAGTGTGGGGGGCCTCAGGTCCCAGTAACACAAAGAAGAAACGCACAGGCTGAGGCAGCTCCAGATCCTCCAACTCTCTTGCCTCCTCCAGACGCACGAAGCCCAGTACTGGCTGCTCCAAAAAGGCAGCGCGGCCTGTGTGGGAGGGGACCCATGTGTATGTATCAAGAGAGTTGGACTCAGGGAAATGCAGCCTGTGCCGGGACACAAGGCAGAAGCAGGAGTATGGAGGGGTAACAGTAGACATCAGCTCTTACCCACAAGCACCAGGGTAGTCTCTGAATTTGGAGGAATCTTTCCCAGAATTCCAGATGGTGAGTGCCCTTCTGGGTCCCCCTTTCCCTGTGGGAAGGAGGGTGGGAAGGGGAGACTTAAGCATCCAGTCTCTTCTTCCTACACACTCTCACATCCAACCATGTTCTGGCCTCACCTGCTCACAGAAGAGCTTTGTCTCCAGTGATGGCTGTTGGGGGAGCAGAGGCTGATAAGGGTCCCCAGAGCGCGTCAGGACAGCGGGCTTCACCCCCTCCAGCATCTTCAGGTCTTGAGCATGGCTGCAGGACATACAGGAGACATGGGTGGAGTAAGGTGTTTGGGATGACCAGACCAGTGATAGGAGGGACCAAGGATAGACATCAAGTAGAACTTCCCAGTGGCCAAACCAGACAGACCCTAAGGTAGAACGAAAATCAAAGCCCCTGTCTGGAATATCTGGGTGGGATCAAAAGAATGGGTGGGGGAAAAGGGCCTTGAGGGTTTGCCTTCCTAGGGACCAGTTCTGAGCATGAAGACATGGTCAACCTTGTGAGATGTCAGAGGCTGGAGCCTCATCTGCTGAAGCCAAGGACAGGTTAGGGGACTTTGGGGCAGGGAGCTACAGAGGGGACCCACACAGGGCGTGGAGCCCATACCTGCGTTTGAGCAGCAGGGCCCGGAACAGCTGCTCTCGGTCTTGAGGCCGAATTTGATCCTCATAGATGAAGCTATCCAGCAGCTGGTTAGCCACTCCAGCCAAGGAAGACTCCCGCAGGTCCAGGAGGACGGTGCCTAGAGGGGATGGTAGTGAGGGGGTGAGCTAGGTGGCTTCATTGTGACTGCCCAGCACACCTCCCATGCATGGGGCCCAGTGGCTCCAGTGGGGCTCACCCTTGGCAAAGGCCCTCTGTAGTTCCAGGAGGCTCCAGAAAGTGAGGTAGGGCAGGTGCGGGCGGCCCCAGGCCCCGTCTTCCCCACGGTTCTCCTCCAGCCCCACCCAGTGTGCTGCTTCCACCCACTGCAGCTCCTGGTTCTTCTGGTCCATCACCAGCTCCTGCAACTCCACGTAGGCCTAGAGCCCACCAGCCTGAGTTAATCCATCAGGCCGCAGACAGGACCATGGGGAGGCTGGGACCCCAGGGCCTACGGGGCATCCTGCAGCTCCGAAGAGATGCTAGTGCAACGCCCAGGGCTCTGGAGGCTCAGGCAGACCCTGCCCTTGGAGAATGGGGAGATGCTCGAGGGTCCCTTAGGTGTGGCCCAGACCATGGCGCCATCCTCCATCTTCCTTGCCAGGTCCTCACCCCATTTTAGATAGAGCATGGAGAACCTCTGGTCTGAAAGGGGCCTGGAGTGGCCACTTGGCCAGAAAACTGGGGCCTGGTAGCCAAGGGTGAAAGGCATGGGGAAGTCATTGGATGAGTCTCTTGCAGCCAAGATGACAGGGTGTGACTGGGCCTGTCCTTGGGGCTAGGTGGCTACAACCAGGGTCACAGCTGAGGGCCGGCCCAAGTTCCCAACCAACTAGCAGGCTGGTGCCCAACAGGAACCTAGGGGCCTGGTCAGAGGAGAGCAAGTATTTAATTCTGTGCATCCCAGTGAGTGCCTGGCAGCCTAACCAGGACCCAAGCCTGGGGACTGAATCTCACAGTCAGGCTCTCTGTCTAAGGACTTCCTTTCTTGGTGGGTGTGTCCCCTTCCTTTCCACCTATTTCCCAGGACCCCGCACTCATTCTCTGTCTGTTTGTGGGGTTTCCCACCGCCTGCCCCTGCTTCTGCCCTTTTCCTAGCCCTTTGCCTGATAAAATAGTGGATCTTAAAGGCAGCTATGAAAGAGAATAGGGGGAGGGGTTGGATCTCACCTCAAGATCACTTGGGTGCGTTGTGGCAGGAGTGGCAGGGGTGGCAGGGGTGTAGTCTGTGTCTGTTGGCTCGGTGGAAAGAGCTGAAAACTCAAAGGTGGTCAGTGTTGCCCCGAAGCCCTGTTGTACCCTGCACAGGGAACCTCAGAGACCCAGGCCCACTCCTTCTCACTGCCCCGGAGCTGGGACCCTGACGCCCTCCCCCTACCATGCAGTGGGATGTTGTTCCCTATGCCTGCTCTGGGCCCAGTCTGCCTCTGTCACTTCCCATCTGAGCCATGTTGAGGTCCCCAGGGACTCAGTTGAGAGGCCATGCCTCTCCTCAGTGATGATGGGAAGGAAGAGTCCCCAGTGGCAATGTGCAGGACCAACTTAGGGTCACTTTCCTCCACTCCCACCTCTGTGACCAGACTTCCTTCCTTTTCACACCTGCCTGAACAATCTGCCAGCCAGGTAGTCTCTCACCGGGCACCAAGGTGGGGTGACCCCTTATATCCATCCCCTGCCCCCAGTCTTCATTTCCCTAAGGGGCCTCTTAACTCCAAAACCAGTCACCAGCACTTAAGTACTGTTGACAGTAAACAGGTCACCGCCTGGGGCTCCCCACCTAAGACCTTGGACAGGTCGAGGAAGATGGTGTGGGCTCCTGAGGTCTCTGTTCTGGGGATCCCCACAGGCCCCCCATTTCTCAGGACTTCCAGCCCCCAAGACAGAATGATGTTCCAAGAATAGGCCCAGCTCGCACCTGGCCTAGACTCTGGCATTAGATGGGCATGTATCATAGATGGGTCACGTCCTTGTCCCAGACAGGCCTGGCTGCCTTCTCAAGTGTGAAAGGGGCACTGACTCTGCTCCCCAACCCCTCCTGTCATCATTTCAAACAAAAGGTTGTTTACCCTTCAATCAGCCAGGATTGTGGGAGAATTGGCCCAGGGTTGGGGGTGGGACTGTGGAGAAGGGGAGAGCAAATTCCCCACTTTCCCAGTAGGAGCAGAGGCAGAAGACAGAGCTCACCTTGGGGCTCCTCCACTTGGAGCACGGAAATGTCCAGGTCTTCATATTGCTCTTGCTCTAGAATCTTCTCTAGTACTTTTTCACTGTCCTCCTGCTCTGGGATTTCCAGCACTTCCTCAAAGTCATCCTGTGGGAAGTGGCCATCAGTGCTGGGTTCAGGGGTTCCTCATGCCTGGACAAAGGTAGTGGTCCAGGGCAGCTTACTTTGAGGAGTTCTGCAAAGGCCAGGAGAGACCCACCTGTATGTCCCCCATGGCTCTGTCCTGAGTGTCCTGTTGTCCACGGTGATCCAAGCCCCCAGCATAACCCGTACCTCGGGTCCCTGCAAGGGAGAGGAGTGAGTGAGGCCCAGGACATCCTGGGGTCTTCTGGTTTTCCCTGAGGAGACTGCCAAGAGATTCTAGGTAGGGTCAGAGGAAAGTGGAGAGGGTGAGGATGGAGAGAGGAGTTGGCTTTGTAGATGTGGGGGGCTGTGCAGGAGCAGGGAGACAGGCAGTGCAAGGAAGAGCAAGCATGGCTGACTTCAGTCCAGGTATGTTTGGGGAGCAGGCAAGTGTCAATTGAGTTTGACTGCGTCCTGCCTTAACCAGTCCTCACCTGGCTTTTCCTGCCCATCCCCAGGACTCAGCCGACTTCCTGGGCATGACTTATGCCCTCTTCAGTGATCTTGGCTCCCCTCAGACTCTCCAAAGCATACTCTCTTCCCCCAGAAATGGTTGCTTCTCACTGGGCTGGGGAGCCAGCATCCTTGGGAATGGCCCACAGGTCTTAAACAATGAGTCTGCTTCTCTCTCCACACCATCTTGAACCTTGTATCTCTTGCTCTAGCCTGTTGGTCTCCTTATGGTTCCTAGAACTTACCAAGCCATTTTCTGCCCCAAGGCCTGTGCACATCCAGTCGTCCATATCCTGGATACACCTTCTGCCAACACCTCAGCCCTTCACATCTCAGCTTAACCATCACCTCCTTATAGGCCCTCCCTGGCCATGCTAACATTTTCTGATTTCTTAATTGATTTGTGTATACATTGTCTGACAAATCCTCAGGAAGGGTGAGATCAGTCACCCTGTATGACTGGATCTCCATGAAGTCCCCCTCTCCTAGCAGAGTTGTGGTCACATAGTAGATGGTCATTGAATATTTGCTGAAGGACTGTGATAATGGTCTTCACAGTGGGCTTGGGATCAGGACCTGGGGAGTCAGAATGGCAAGACCCAGCCAAGAGGTCATGGAGCTCTGGACCTCTGCTCTCTCAGTGTGGCTCTAGCAGACAGAAGGTATGCCCACCCCAGGAACGTGAAGACAGTCCAAGAGGAGGGCAGGGTCATTTAAGGAGGCCCCAGACTGGGTGTAGAGGGAACTCCCTTTCTCTCTCATCCTCTGTGACAGAGAGGATTGGCGTGACAGGTATTGGGATCAGGTCTTCAAATGTGGCCACTTTGCTGAGCACAGGAGACTAAAATGAACAATGCTCATCCCTTCTCTCAGGAAGCCCCTCAGCCTCTTCTGGTAAACCAGGAACCCAGGCAGCCTAAGTGGGTCCACAGATGAAGGAAGGGAGGAGGTAGAATGGGCAGAGGGCAGTGGGCACAAGTCAATGGGACAGAAGGGCAAAGGGCACAGGTCAGCAGGGAAGAGGGGCGAAGGATACAGGTCATTGAAGCAGACCCAGAGGCAGGGAGCAGGGCCATGCAGGGAAGGCTGGGGGCCACATGAAAGGAGTAGGGCAGGGAGGACATTCAAAAAGACCTTTACAGGGAATTCTGAAGAATGAATGGCCCTGCAGACTTGGAAATATGGGGGCATGGCAAAGTCCCACCATCTCCTTTGGGGGTGGCAAATGACAGTCATGGGAGTGTCCCCAAGCCTGAGAGTGTAGTGATCCTTTGGGGACTCTGTCACACACATTTTCTTTCCTTCTTCTCTCTCCTTTTCCTCCTCTCACGAAGGCCCTCACCCCATTCCTCTTTTTCCATCTTTACTCCTATCTTCCTTCTCCATATTGGCCCACACAGCTTTTTGGGCCTCAGATCCTGAGCGGCCCCAGGGGTCTAGTCCCACCCATGAGGCTAGACGTGGCCTTGGTTTTCCTCTTATGGCAGAGCCAAAGAATTCAGGAGTTCTATGCTGCATCCCCAGCTCTGACTGGCTGAGTGGTCTTGGACAGCTTCTCATTTCCCTCCAGTGCTGTCACCCAGCTATAGGATGAGGACCACCTAAGATCTGAGCACTCAGTCATAGAGAAGGGCCTGGAGCCCAGCTGGTTTTCGGAGGGTGCACCCAGGCCCAGATTGGTGCCTGCCCTACCTCGTGTCCCCAGCTGCAGGCCTTACTCTGCCTGCTACTGATAAGAGCCTGGTCCCTGGAAGCACACCAAACACCTGGGCGGCTGCCAACCGGGGCAGGCCAGATAAGGGGGAACCCAGGAGGTGGAGTCCAGCTGGAAAGAGGCAGACAGATGACAGGGACAGCTCCCTGGTGGTAGAGCACCACCTTTGTGTGATCCATTCTGCACCCTACAAGCAGCTATGTCACTTTATCTCTCATAATCCCCAAACCACTCTGGAAAGTGGGCAATGTCACTAGCCCCATTTCACAGATGAGAACAAAGTTCAGAGAAGTCCACCTGCTCTGGCCTGTGCCTCCAGCCATGTCTCTAACCACTATGCTGAGCTGCCTCCTGGAAAATAGCTCTTAGCTGGTTTTGAGTTAGTAGTTAAGAGCATGAACTCTGCAGTCAGACTGCCTGGGTTCAAATCCCAATCCTACCATTAACTAATTGTGTGGTCTTGGGTAGTGACTCAATCTCTCTATTCCTCTGTTTTTTCATCTGCAAAGTGGGACTGATATTAATGATTCCTACCTCATACACCCATTGTGCACATTAAGTTCATATAAAGTGCTTAGCACCATTCCTGACACAAATTCTCTGAATAAATGCTTGCAGTCATTACCCTTGCTGCTGTGGTCAAGGTCAGCCTTGCTATCTTTATTCCCCTCCGATTTGCCTTCAGTTCCCATGGGATTAGCCTGAGCTAACGGATTTGAAATCCTCAGGTTTGTGGGGGGCTTCTTCTTTCCCTTCAAAGGTTGGGGACAGTGCCAGATCCCCGAGGTAGACCCCTGGAAGTGTCTCAAATGAGATGCAATGTTAACTTACATCTTATCTCCTAGGTTGGAGGTGGGGTGGCCTGGGAATCCTCATATTTGGAGGAAAGAGGGGCCTGGGTGAGTGAAGTCCCCAGACAGAACTTATACCTGGAAGGGTCAGGTCAGCCCCCAACACACCCCTGCCACACACACCTTTGCTGCATGAGCCACCTGCCACCCCCCTTCCCCTCTGCAGGTGCTGATGGGCCTGTGCCTTGCACATGTCACATTCCCATCCCACCCATCTGCACCCCTTTCGAGGTCAGGGGCCTGTGCCACTTTAGCACAGATTCAGGCTGGCCACCTGCACAAATCCTTAGGGCAGGTGCCAAGGGACCACCCCAGCCCCTCCCTGCCCTGCCCACCTGCTCAGGAGCCTTGGGGTCCCTCAGCGAAGTCCTGTAGCTCCCGGTGCCCTCTGCGACCAGCGGAGTTCCCAGCTGCTCTAACAGCACAGGCCTGCTCCGGCACCCCGGGGGCAGCTCCAAACCCCTGACTCATGCCCCCGCCTCCTAATCTGCCCGCCCCACAGCCTGGAGCCCCTTCCCACCCCCCCACCCCAGCCCAATCCCTCGGGGTGCCCCATAAACAGACTTATCTCTCACCCACATCTGGACAGTGGTGAAGAGGCCCACCCTGCCCCAGCCTGGCCAGTTCCTAAGTCCTCCCAGTCCACTCCTGGCCGCCAGGAGTCTTCTGGGTCTTCCTGTCTTCGTGGACTCAGGTTTGATGACTGCCTTCTCAGGACTGCCAGTCCCCCACGGGGACGCATGGGCTCTGGACGTTTCTGCCTTGTCTCTGTCCATCCTCCACTCTTGCCAGGCCTTCTGCTCTGGCCCCAAGATGCATGGGCACCTTTCCTCTCTCCTCTCTTACTGTCTTCCCCCAGGTCTCCCTCTTTGCATCCTTTCCGTGGGGACCTGTTTAGCACTACTGGGACTCCAGGGTGCCCCTCCGCTTCTACAGGAGTACCCCAGTCAACCTCTCCCTAAGACCCTGCTCGCTCCAGAGAGCTGATCTCTGGGCACTAAGACAGTGACACTCAGTTAACCTGAAACAATGTCGGGTCAATGAAAACAACCATCTCAACACCAAGCTCACAAAGACCCAATGTCTGGGCACACTGGCTCCTCTGTGGGCAGCCCAGCCCAGGCCCCGGGCCAGGCAGGAGCCTCCACATTCTCGTCCCTGGCTCCGCCCTTTCCCCACCCCCAGCAGGTTGGGCTCTATTGGGGGAGGTGGGTGGCCCAGGCCAGGGCACCTGTCCCGGATTGACAGATGAGTTCATACGGACAGGAATGAGGAGGCTTAAACCAGAGGGGTGCTGTGGATCTGGCTTTGGGCAGGAGGGAGGAAACTACCCAAGCCCGCTTCCATGATGACCAGCCATGGGAACCCCGGCAAGTCCTTAGCCTCTCCGGGTTTCCGTGTCCTCATCTATCAAATGTGGGAGTGGGTTTCTGTTGCTGCCAGCCTGAGGTTCCCCAGTTCAGGTTCAAACAATAGAAACTCAGAGCTGGGCCCAGCCAGCAACTCCACAGCAATTCTCGCCCACAGCCTGAGTCCAGGCAGAGTGCAGCCCCAGGCTGCAGGACTAGTGCTGGGCCATGCTTCTTTCTTCTGAGCCCCACATTCTGCAGAGGAGACAAGTAAATCCTGAGAGGGAGAGTGGCTTCCCTAAGCAGAATGAGCAGCGTTGCTCCAAGCGGGATGCTGTGCTAGGCCTCCACACACCTTTGCTCTGCATCCCTGAGATCTCTTGGAGGGGGCACTGTCCATTATTGTTTGTTCCCTCTTACAGATGAGGACAGTCAGACCTGGCCTTCTGCCTATGTCTGTCTCTCTCTCTCTCTCTCTTTTTTTTTTTTTTTTTTTTTTGTGGTACTGGGGTTTGAACTCAGGGCCTTCACCTTGAGACACTCCACCAGCCCTTTTTAGTGATGGTTTTCTTTGAGATAGGGTCTCGTGGACCTATTTGCCTGGGATGGCTTCAAACCGTGATCCTCCTTATCTCTGCCTCCTGAGTAGATAGAATTACATGTGTGAGCAGAGGCTGAGATCAGACAGGAGAGGGGGTTAATGGCGGCTAGGGAAGCTATCCCTGGCAATGTGAGGTGTCAGCATGGGCCTGTGACTACTGAAGGCAGACCCCCTCATAATCTGGCATCTACTCTTCGGTACCCTGTGGGCCATTGTCACCTGCTGTCTTCTAGCCCTCAGCACAGTTGCACTGGACAGGAACAGCTGCCTTGGCTACCCATGAAAAGGAAAGGGAGGGTCTGAGAACACATTTGGGGCACAGCAGGCCATGGTTTGCAGTGGCAGCTAAAATGAGCAGATGTCCTGATCGTGTGAGGTGTTATGGTTGGAGCTAGGAAGCTGGCAAGAGTGACTTTGGGGGGTGGGCGTTGTGGAACCCATGGACATTCTCTGGTGAAAATATAACTTCCTGTGTTCTCCCATGGATTAGGGACCTGGAGCCCTGGGATTTTGCATTAAAGGGGAGTGTCCCACAGCTGGGACATTGGGCTTCTGTGGAACTGCTGGGACAGGAAGCTCTGCCACCTGGCTATGTGACCTTTAGTTGGCCACATCTTCTTCCTTTCCTCCCTGAGTTTATTAGGACCAAATGGGGTGACAGATGGGCAGAAACTTAAAAGCCTAGTCTTCTCTGGATGCAGGTATGGGGCTGAAATCCAGGGTCTTGTGTGTGGGAAGCACATGCTGCACCCCTGAGCTACATCCCCAGACCAAGGACTGTGTTGTGAACTGGGAGACGTCATGGGGACAGATTGTCTCCTGGGTATCAGGTGGCAACTGGGGCTGGGCTCTGTGCAATGTCCCTCTGTCCTCAGTTGTTCTTGTCTGGTGGGACAGACAGTGCCAATACACGATAACCACAGAGTGTGATAAGAAGGAATGTGGACAGAGTGGGGGCCAAGGGACAAGTAACCTGGGAACCATGAGATGTTCCCAGGGAGTCGTCTGATCTGAGCCTTGAAGTTTCTCAGGGGAAGAGAAGCAAGGCATTGCTGGTGGTGGAGGGACCACAGGGGTGATAAATGTTCAGCTGGCAGACATCGGAGGTGAAGGGAAGAGGGGCAGGGATGCACAGGCACTATGAACAACAGTCATTGCTCCAGTCGAGGTGAGGGAAAGTGTGTTTGTGTTAGTGGGAATTGAGAAGAAGGGACAAGGAGCAGGAATGGCACTGGAACAGAGAAGACCCTCATGGATAAGCCACTTCAGTTCTCCTCCAGAATCCTGTCTTCTAGCCAGCATCCTCACCTGGACCCGAGGGGGTCTAGGTCACCAGGCCAGATCTGTGGATTAACTCAACTGTGCATATCCTTGACACAAGTCAGGAGCTTAAGGGAGGGCGTTGCTGAGACCTGGAGCAAGGGAAAGGGGTGGGGCTCAGCAGAGTATCCCAAAGTAGGGAGGAGGAGAGTGTAAGAGTAGGCTTGGAGCCCTGTGGGGTCAGACCTGCTCTCCAGAGAGTGCTCAGGGAGGAGGAATTCTTGGACACAAGATCTTTTTGTAAACTTTTTTTTTTTTTTGGTGGTATTGGGGTTTGAACTCAGGGCCTCACACTTACTAAGCAGGTACTCTACCACTTGAGCCACTCCACCAGCCTGGACACAGGATCTGCCTGGGGGCCTCAGGGAAAAGCTGTGAGCTCTCTATTTTTATCTATCTGTCTATCTATCTATCTATTTAGCTATTATCTATCTATCTATCTATCTATTTATGGTACTGGGGCTTGAACTCAGGGCCCACACCTTGAGCCACTCTACCAGCCCTTTTTTGTGAAGGTTTTTTTTTTTTCTTTTGAGATAGTGCCTCTTGAATTATTTTCCCAGGCTAGCTTCAAACCACGATCCTCCTGATCACTGCCTCCTGAGTAGCTAGGATTACAGGCCTGGGCCACGGGCACCTGACTTGGGCTATGAGTTCTCTGAGCTGGACACTTGCCCTTCTGGGAATGTTCTCTTCCCTTGTGGCTATGGTCTTTCCCTGCACCTTCTCCTGTCCTAGACACCCTTTCTTTCCAAACCTGCTGACCAAAACTCAGAGCTTCAAGGCCCAGAGTTCCCATCCCAACTCTGTGAAGTCTCCCTGCTCCTGGCCCCACCCCGGGAGATGGAGAGGGCTCAGCCCAGAGACCCCATGTGGTCCTTGCTCTATCAGGATGGTCCATGGTCCTTTTCTTGCCACATACTCTGAGCACCAAGGACAGGGACCATCCATCTCAGCCCCTTTATATTATTTTAATATTTTTTGGCAGTGCTGGGGCTTGAACTCAGGCCCTCATGCTTGCTAGGTAGGCACTCTATCGCTTGAGTCACTCTGTCAGTCCTTCTCAGGCCCTTTAATCTGTCCCAGACTCTGCTAGTCACTGACAGTTCATGTCTTTGTTTTGAAAGAGGTTCTCAATATGTGACCCTGGCTGGCCTCTAACTTGAGGTCTTGCTGCCTTAGCTCCTGAGTGCTGGGATTACATGTTTACGTTACCACACCTAGCTCAATAGTTCATAGGTTTGTTGACTTGAATGGAATCAGTAAAAAAATGGGCCACTCACACCACTGGCAAAATTATAGAGAAGACAACTAATGTTTGAAAAGGCCATATAAATGTACATTGACAGTCTTATTTAATTCTAATCATTTCTCTAAACACACACAAGAAAGGAAACACACACTGGGCCTCCTCCAGCTGTTTCCATTCACTTGGCTCCTCAAATCCCCAAACCCAGCTGCCTCCTTGACTCTTCTTCCTTCACCTTCATATCCAATCTCAGCCCATTCCCTCCATGTCACCCGCCTGCCAGAGGTCTCCATATCCCCTGATCACCCCACCTGCCTCCTGGCTTCACTCAGGCCTCTGCAAAGCAACAGAGTGGCCTCCTAAAGATCTAAATCATGCCGGGCTCACACCTGTAATCCTAGCTACTCAGGAGGCACAGATCAGGAGGATTACGGTTCAAAGCCAGCCTGGGCAAATAGTCCTTGAGATGCTATCTCGAAAAACCCTTCACAAAAAAGGTTGGTGAAGTGACTCAGGTGTAGCTCCTGAGTTCAAGCCCCAGTACTGCCAAAAAAAAAAAAAAAAAAAAAAAAAGGCACGAATCATGTGCTGTCTGTCCTATGTACAAAATCCTGTGTGACTTCTCCATATTCCCTGCTCCTGGCTACTCCTGACCTCTGCTCACTCACCTCTTCTTGCCTCTTGAGTCCCAAGCTATTACTGTTCCATGTCTGGTTCCTTCTCACCCTGTTCAGGACTCAGGTCAAGTGTTACCCTCGCAAAACACCTCTTATGATCACCCAAATGGACATAACCCCCAGCCACTTTCTGTGTCAAGGAAAATCAGGATGATCTGTATGCAAGAGAAAACTTAAAATCCTGCTGAGTTAAGCAAGAAAGAAGTTTCTTTCTCTCTGATATAAAAGTTTGGAGGTAGGAGGTCCCAGAATGCAATGGTGCTCTGTGTACTTCCTTCTGTCTCGTGGTATCTTCA